TGCCATCTTCCTGTGACCTACTCCTCTCTGCGTCCTCAGCATGAGTCCTCACTAAAATGAATCCACCCTCTTACCGAGGGAGCTCTTGCCAAGTCAACAGCAGGGAAAGCACAAGGTGAGCCTAGAAAAACCAAGTGCCACAAAGTGAGGAAACCCTACAAGTAACTGTGGCACAGCACAAGAATACAGCAGCCAGTGTGGAAAGGTTCCCTCTGGCCATGTACAGGACAGTTTCAGCATCAAGGATCACTTTGCCTCACCTAAAATAAACAAACCTCAAAGGATCACTTTGCAGGTTACATACTAACTTCAAGTAGGAAAAGATGACTTTACAATAGAGAGATCTAGCAGATCCCATTGTCACAGTGGTCAAACTTTGTCACCACTAAAGGGTGATCTGATTTCCCTGATGTGACACGGCCCACTTTCGATGCCTAATCGAAGTGGGAGTATACGGACATGCTCCTTTGCCTGACACTGGCCAACTCTGAAGGGTCACTTTGCATTACAGATACTGTGTAAGCTAAGGCTTCCCCGGAGTGTGGGGTGGAGCACAATGCCTTCCTGTGCCTATGCTGCTTCCTTCCATTTTCCTTCTTCCCTTTTCTTGCCTCTGCCTGTTCTTCCTTCATCTTCCTCTTTCCAGTTCTTCTTCTGGTCCCCACGTGTTGATCCAAGAGCACCCCACTATGGGATAATCTACATCTCAGAACACATCTCCTGGGGTGTTCAAGTAGGAAGAGTTAGTACTGGAGACATCAGAGAGTGCAGATACTAAGAGGGAAGTGGAAGCTGGGCCACCTACCTGGCTGCCTGAAAGGGTTTCAGCACTGGTGGTGGAGTGAAAAGGTACTTAACCTGACACAGGTTATCTGCTCCTGAATGTGCAAGAAGACTTTCACCAGCAATGAACTGGAAGAGCAGAAGAGGGGGCACCAGCTAGTTTGATGTATCCATGTATCAGATATTGTAATTGCAAGGGTCACAGGACCCTAACAGTGGCCATTTTAGTTCTTACCAAAAGCCGGGTGAATGCCTTATCATGAGAGAAAAATGGGAGTGGGCCAGGTGGCGAGTTATAAAAATGAGTCATAGAACACGGGGCTACAAAATGAAATAGAGGGACAACCAACAAGTGGGTGATTTGATCTGCACAATCAAAATAACTAGGCACACAACTGTAATCCCAGCACTCAAGAGACTAAAGCAGGATTGCCATGAGTTTGAAGCCAGCGTAGGATACACAATGAATTTAATGCCAGCCTAGACTATACAGAAAGACCCTGTCTCAAAAACCAACCCAAAAAACAAAAAACAAAAAAACAAAAAAACAAAAAACAAAAACAAACCACCAAGAAAACCAAGCTCATTACATCAGAATCCCTTGCTCCTTGGAAGAGCACGCATTGGACTGGGTAAGAAATACACATGTACTCTGGGTTGGGATTTGCCTTTTTGGCTCATGGTGTCTAGTCAGCTAGTACCTATACCATGCAGCATTAACCCAAAGGATCTATTTGATAACACAGGAGGTGCAGGAGTGGGTACAGCCCATGAAATCTGCTGGTGACAGCACAACAGCTGGAGCTGCCATTGGTAGCTATAGACGACAGCTAAGCTCCCAGTTAAGCCCCTGGCACCGCTCCCCAGGATGCCATGTGAACTTCAGGTCACGGCTTTTCTAATGTCTGGGTTCTCAGCAGGCAGACAAGTGGAGCAGAGGCTGTAGTTTCTCTCGACACCATCACTACCAGTGACCCACTTGCGAAACTCTTCACGTTCCTGCAGTTCTGGGCTCTCAGGTTTGTTACCTTCAGTTTCCAAAAGGAGTAATGCTCTCAGAAGGAGATACAGCAGCAGTCCTGCTGAAATGTTAGCTACAGTTGCTACCTGGATACTGCAGCCATGACACAGCAGCAGTGAGAGAAGGACGCCACTGTCCTAGGAGGAGTAGTTGGCCTGATGACTACAAGACCTGGCTGCCCTTACTTGTACAGTGTGTGCGTGTGCATGTGTGCATGCAGACATGCATGCGTGTGCATGCAGGAGCATGCACATGGTGGGGAGAGGTGTATTTGTCATGCAAGTGGATGTTTGGGTGTTTCTTCATTTTGTTTTGGTTTTTTGAGTGTCTCATTATGTAGCCCAGGCTGGCCTCAAACTTGCAATCATCCTGCCTTAGCCTCTCAAATGCTGAAATTACTAGTATGTGTGTGCCACTACTTCCAGCTCAGAAGGGCATATTTAAGAAACTGAATAGGTCAGCCATTATGACATGGTGTCTTAATTATTCTTCTCTCCTTACTGAGACAAAATACATGACACCCAAAGTTAAAGGGGGAAAGGTTTATTCGGCTCACACTGTGTAGAGGCTTCAGTCTGTAGTCAGCTGGCTCCAAGGCAGGGTGTTTTGGCAGAGGAAAAACATAGCAAAGCAACCAGGGACTTCTTTTTTTCAGACAGGGTCTTGCTCTGTAATTCAGGTTAGTGTCAAACTCCTGGCAATTCTCCTGCCTCAGCCTCCAGAGTGCAGGTTTGTGTGAGCCACTACACTCAGCTAATGAGAGGCTTCAACAGCATCTTTCTGGCTGGGGAGATAGCACAGTGGAATAAGTGCTTGCCTGGCAAATGCAAGGTCCTGAGTTTGATCCCTGGTACCACCAAAAAAAACAAAAACAAAAAAAACCCCAGCATCTTTCTGCCCCTTTTATCTTGTATCTAGGTGGTGTACATTAGGGTAGTGCCAAACCAAATAATGGTTTAAATTATTTAAATAATCACCCACCCTTAATCTCAACCTTTAATCACACATCCTAGACTCCGCCACCTCTGAAAAAGCCCTACCTATGACTGAATGGGGTTATATCTAGATCCAAACCATAACACTTGGCTACTCACATGCTAAATGTAGCTTAACCATGGGATTAGTGAGGTTTGCAAACTCAAACTTTGCGTTCCTAGCAGGTGGGGTGTGGTGGTACACACATCTGTAGTCTAGTCCAGGAAGCCAAAGTGAGGAAACCACAGGAGCCCACGAGTTCTAGGACAACCTGGGCAACACAGCGTGACAATAAAGCAACATAACTTTGTTCCCAATATTTAAAAATCAAATTATTCACTACACCATCCCAATTCCCAACACCTTGGGAAGATCCAGTGATGCTTGGCTGGAGCTGGCAGAAGCTCTAGAATAGGCGACCATTGCCAAGACACTACCTATTGCATGAATTTTAGGAATTGCTTAGGCTTCTGTGAGAAAGTGAGTTCCCTGTGCCCTGGATAGGTCTCAGTAGCTGGCAGTGCACAAATCTTGAACAAACTGGCCCACAGATAACCTACCTGTTCCTTTATTTTGCATTGTTTTTTAAACGTATTTAGTACAGGGTCTATAGGGTCTTACTACATAGATTGGACTCATAGTGATCCTCCTGTTTTCAGCCTCCCACGGGCTGGAATTACAGGTGCATGCCTATCCAGTCTTAATCCTGTCTCAGATGGAGGGGGCAGCATGGGCTTGCTCGGGATCAAACCCTGCCACTGTGCTCTGCCTAAGCAGGCACTTTAGTCAGTTGAGCTATCTGGCCGGCCCTTTGTTTTGTGTTTTTTGAGACAGGGTCTTGCTAAGCACTTCATGCTGTCTTTGAACTCACTTTGTAGCCCAGACTGGTCTCAAACTCAGAGTGATCCTCCTGCCTCAGGCTCCCTAGTGCTGGGATTATAGGCATGTGCCACTATGCCAACAGTCTACCTGTTTTGTTGTTGTTGTTGTTGTGGGGAAAAACACAGTTTTAGAGCCAAGTGTGGTGGCTTGTACTTCCTGTAATCCCAGCACTTGGGAGGCTGAAGCAGAAGGATCATTTCAAGGCCATGCTGGGCTACACAGCAAGTACAAGGCCATCCTGGACTACACTGAGACTCAAAAAACAAAGTAAGGTGTTGGTAAAACAGATCTGTACAAGAATCAGGTGAGTGAGGGAAGGAGTTTTGGACATGTTATATGACCTTCAATTTATTTTTATTTTTTTTTAACATTTATTGTGTGTGTGTGTGTGTGTGTGTGGCCAGCTCAGCCCACCAGGGGGGCGGGGCTGGCTGGCATGTGGTGCTGGGGGATCGAACCGCGGTCCCTGTGCTTTCCCAAGCTTGTTCCAAGTAGGTGCTTTAGACCACTGAGCCATCTCTCCAGCCCCGACCTTCAATTTAAAAATTGCATTAAAATAGTAGTGCTCTTGGCCGGGTGTGGTGGCACACTTCTGCAGTTCCGGCACTCGGGAGGCAGAGGCAGGAGCATCGCCACAAACTCCAGGCCAACCTGGACTACACAGTGAGTTAAACGCAGCCTGAACTATTGCTCTTGAGTGCTGCTTGTGTGGGAGTGGGGGGTGCGGGGGGTAGGGGGGTCCTCCATTAAGAGAGGATGGCAGCTGCCTTTAGTCCTGGCTCTATCCTGAAGACTTTTGGATGACACACTGAACGGCTTGGTCTTTATTCAGACTGTACAGTGGCAAACGGCCCCTTCCATCTCTCATTTACTTAAGTGCTTTAGCACAGGGGATCCCTGTGCAGCCCAGTCTGAACTCGCGATCCTACAGCTTCAGCTTCCTCAGTGCTGGGATGACAGCCACCACGCCAGCTCCATTTATTTATTTACCTATAGCAGAGGCGAGACCGGATCAGACCCTCGTTCGGGGGACCACTTTAAATACTCTTGCCCCAGATCTGTGGCAGTTAGCCTTCCAATAATACTAATATTTCACTGTCACACACCAGCTCTCTCGTCTGCCCCTTAAAACACCGTTTCCCTCTGTCTTCTCCTCCTAGTCCCAGTACCTGTTGGCCTTGGGCGTGCTCCACCAGCGCTCCGCACATCTGTTTCCGGCCGGCTTCCAGGACCGAGAGTCGATACCGAAACCATCGCTCTACTCCCACGGGGCGGAGCTTTCTCATCGGCTCTACCGGTATTCGACTCGTGATGCCTCGCCCCGGCGGGCGTCCAGCGGGAGGCGGAGCGAGTCCAAAATGGCGGCTCTCAGGCTGGCGCGCTCCGTGCTGCTGGCGCTTTGAGGTGGTCGCCGGGGGTCCGGGGGACGATTTCCCCGCCTCGAGGGCCCCAGAGAATGACTTGGGGGCTCTGCTAAGGTCAGGCGGCGGGGCTGGAGAGGAGTGGCAGCAAGAGCTGCGGTGGCGTCCACGCAGCGGGATGTGCGAGAGTTACTCCAGGTCGTTGTTGAGGGTCTCGGTGGCGCAGATCTGCCAGGCGCTGGGCTGGGACTCGGTGCAGCTCAGCGCCTGCCATCTCCTCACCGACGTGCTGCAGCGCTATTTGCAGCAGCTGGGCCGGGGCTGCCATCGGTACTCTGAACTCTGTGAGTACCGGGCTGGGTGCGGGAGGGCTGCCCGGCGAGTCACGCGAGACACCTCGCTCTCCCCGTCCCTCCCTCGGCGTCCCTGGCTCTTGCCGTGTGCATCCCGCCCGGGATCAGCCACCTTCTCGGCGCCCAGCGCTTCCACTGCTCCTGCAAACTCCAGTCATCCGCGGTGCCTCCCGTGCATCCGCTAACTTCCCGCCACCGGGCGGGCGCCCGGCTGCGCTCGGGCTGCACACCTCGTCTCCCTCTGGGAGGTGCCTTGCTCTTTCTTCTTGTCACCTGTCTGCTGCGGTTGAACCCACCCGAGTGCCCTACACCCTCTTATCCTGGTCCTTTTCCTCCCTTTCCTTCAAACTACTACAACTAGTTGTCACAGGCGCTCCGTCTACCGGCCGTTTCTCACCAGCCTGGCCATTCTCGAGCAGCTCCTCTCCGCACGGACTCCTTGACAGCTCTCTCCGCTAGCCTCTTCCCTCTTTTTTCTGTTCGCTGCACAGACAGCATCTCCACTTACTGTTTCCAAAGGCGGACTTGGTCAGTCTCGCTTAGTGGATGAACTTTCATTCTATAAAGGCTTCCACTTTTGTAATTTTTATGTCAGCGGCTATGAAAGTCTGGTAGAGGGATCCTAGGTAATTTGCAAGGTTCTCCAGGTAACCTGGGCTTCACAGTTTACGGCTTTTGGGTGAGTGCCTGGAACTACAGCTACTGCTATGTAATAACGAGGACTATTTTACCAGAAGCCAAGGGTCATTTTGTTGACATGCGAAATGTGCATATGTACATGGGCGTCGGAGGGTTCCACTCATTTAGATTTCAGATTGTAGTTTTTAAATTGATAAATTGGCGAACTAGATGAAGTGTTTCATAGAATGTTTTGTTGAAGTTTCCAGGTTTAAAAAGTGGAGGCCCTTAGATGCCTTGTGTTTCATAGGTTCTAAATTCCATTTCAGTAGTGCTGCCAAAGTGCTGTCCAGCACACAAATGAGGTCCTGTCCACAGCCCAAATCTGATGTTCTTATTCTTTCTTTAAAAATATTTCAGTTACACTGATTGATTAGAGGCTAAAATCTAAATTGAAGCAGCAGCTTCCTTTGTAAGCTAGTTTTTATCTTCTGCCACCCTGCCATAGTAATCTGCAGCCACACTGAGCTGCCTGCCTTTTCTAGAACATTTACAGCTGTTTAGCCCTAAATGCCTGGATGCACACTGTTTCCAAGTGTCTTTACTCCCAAGTCCACCAGTAGACCATTTTTATTTGAAGATTCACAGTATTTTGCTTTCAGGAACCCAGTTACCTGCTTTTACAATCCTGTGCATATTTCCCTGATATATCAGCCTGTTTTGTAATTGTCTGTATAAGACAAATTGATTATATTTGTATTCTGTAACCTAGAACAGGGCTAAATATAGTAAAAAAGAAATATTTGTTCAATGGATTGAACTGGTAATCCACTACCATAATAGCCATTTATTGACACTCCCCCCACCCCATTCTGAAAATTGAACCCGGGGATGCTTTACCACTGGGTTGCATCTCTTTATTTATTTATTTATTTTTGAGACAGACAGTTGCTAAATTGCCCATAGTGGTGTTAAGCTTCCTGCCTCAGCCTCCGGAGTGGGTGGGATAACAGGCATGTATCACTATTCTCAGCTTGACTTCACTTTTGAGGTTCTTAAAACATCCAGTTTTTTTGAAGGTTTGATTTCACCAGTACTTCTAAAGAGGGAACTGTGAAGTAATATTCATTCATCATCATCATCCTGAAAGCAGACCACCACCAGCAGAATACTTTTCTGGCTTTTGCTTGTTTTCCTTCAGGCTCCCTTCCGTGGCCCATGATGAAATAGGAGCATTGTAGGTAGTCTTATTATATGTTTGCTGCCAAGTTACCTAAATATGGACAGATGTTGATTGACAGGTGCCAAAACATCCCTTCAATATGTTGTTACCTTCATGCCTTCTACCTAGAACCAGAGTGTGCGCTGGCACTTTAGCTGACTAGGTATTCCGGAGTCACCAGAGGATCACTGTAGTTCCTTAGCATGTTCATAACAGAGCCATGATTCATCTGCTGCCAGGAGCTCTGAGCCAGCTGTGGTACCTGCATGACTGCCACAGAGGGTGGTACCGCCAGGTGGGACAGGTATGCCTGCGCCACTGGTGAGTGCTTCAAGTTGCCAAGATATGTTAGTGTGAGCCTTCTCCTTCATTACCCAATTTCTCTAGTTAGTTTTTTTGATTTTAGTGAGAATGTAATTGTCATGTTCATTATTCCTCATGGTGATTTGGAGAATTTCTTAAAATGCTAATTTAGATATACTATTAAGGAGACAGACATTTTAAGATTCTTTTTCATCCTGTATTTTAAAATTGAATTCACATTACAACTATGCAGTCTTGTATTCCACACTCTAATTTTTTTTTTTTTCTTTATTTTTCTCTTTTTTTGGTACTGGGAATCGAACTTACAACCTCCACTTGCCAGGCAGGCACTGTACTGCTGAGCTCTGTCCCTGGCCAATTTTTTTTTTTAATTTTGTTTTGTTTTTATTTTTGAGACAGGGTCTCTTTATATAGCTTAATGAGTAAGATAAAGGGCATAAGTTTGTGAATTGTGGGTTTTAGGCTAGGGTTACGTCACAGCAAAATGAGAGTTGAGTTGGGCTACAAAGTTCAGTTACATATAGGTGAAGAGAATTCTCTGTTAAGGAATATGGTAAAATAAGATTTCTAAGTAAGATAGAAAGCATCCCTTAAGGTGACCAGCCCCACCTCGGTAGCTAGTTCATTTGAAAGATGTTCAAAGAAAATATTCAAGAGTGAAATCTGGTTATGGAAAGAATTAAACGCTTTATGAAAAAGTAAAATGTAGTAGAAAACCTTGTGTACTTCCGCCAAATGTGGTGGCACACAGCTGTAATTCCATCACTCTGGAGGTTGTGAGTTTGAGCTGAACCTGGCCTGCATAATGAAACAAAATAAAATGAACAAACACATACACACTGCATATATTGAAAGTGGTATTTTGGGGCTGGTGAAATGGCTCAGTGGTCTAAAGCACCTACTTAGAACAAGATTGGCAGAGCACAGGGACCACGGTTCAATCCCCCAGCACCACATGCCAGCCAGCAGCGCCCCCTGGTGGACTGAGCTGGCTACCCCCCCCCCACACACACAAATAAATGAATAAAATTAAAAAAAAAAAAAAAAAGAAAGTGGTATTTTAAGGAAATGGTACTGCAGTGAAATCTAAGGAAAATTTTGATAGGCAGCTGGATGTAGAACTACATAGTGTTCTCCCATCCACAGTTTTGCTTATTAAGGCTTAAGTTACCTAGTCAAAGTGGTCTAAAAATATTCAATGGAATTGCTAGAAATAAACAGTTCATGTTGTAAATAATTTTTATTAGAGTATATTGTAATTGTTCTATTTTGAAATTGTTTATTTTTAATATCTTATTGTGCTTATTTTACATATTAAACTGTTATAAATATGTATGTATAGGAAAAAGAGAAACCAGTATATATAGCGTTCAACGCCCCATCTGAGGTTACAGGCATTACTGAGGGTTGGGAAATATATCCCCTGTGGATAGGAGAGAGACCACTATATGCTGAAGTAATGGTCATACATACAGAGGAAGAAAAATCAGGGGGCCGGGGAGATGGCTCAGTGGAATAAGCGCTTCCCTGGCAAGCGCAAGGGCTTGAGTTCAATCCCCGGTTCCGCAAAAAAGAAAGAAAAGAAAAGAAAAATCAGAACTCTGTGACAAGAAAAAGAGCAGGTTGGCGGCACCAGGGGCGGAGGCTCTGGGACTGCAGAGCACATGGAGGAGTTTAAGATGACTCTGGTTTTTGTACTGAGAGAGTGCTAGTGGGAGAGTTGCACTGTGTGTCTGTGTTTAGTAAAGGAGAAAGAAAAGTGTTTATTTATTGTAGTACTGGAAGTTAAACCTGTTGTTTTAGCACTGCCCTATATCCCCAGCCTCTTTTTATTTTTGAGATACAGACTTGCTAAGTGACTGAGTTGCCCAGGACAGCCACAGACTTGTGATCCTCCTGTCTCAGCCTCTCATATGCTGGAATTACAGTACTGAGCTGCCATTCCTGGGTCTTGTAGAAATTTAAAACGATGTGGGAGCCTCAAATTTTGCAAAGGATACTCCTAAGAAAAAATGCATTTGTTTTATTTTGCTTTTTTGAAACAGGGTCTCCCTATGTAGTTCAGGCTGGTTTTGAACTCACCATGTAGCCCAGGACGGTCCCAGGCTGGTAGCAATCCATCTGTTACAGCCTCCCAAGTACAGGGGATTATAGGTGTGTGCCATCATACCCGGCTTTTGTAAATAAAATCTCATTATATATTAACTTCTAATTTTTTGTCTATTTTATATGACGTCTTCTAATTACGCTTAAAAACTTACATAGAAATTACCTTTAGAATCTAAGTCTTTCCTTGTAAATATTCTTGGATTTAAAACATTGGTTCAGGAGTATAATCATTAACAAACGTTTACTTGAGCACTCATCTTGTGTCAGCTGCCTTTAATAGTCCCAGGGATACATTAGGGAATAATAGCGAAAATGGAACAGACATTCACTAACTCAACACAGCAGCTAGCTATTTGATGAGGAAGGTAATCATAGCACTAGTTACTGGGCAGACTCTTTGTGTCAACCACTGTTGCAGGTATTTTTGGTAGAGGTCTTGGGGAATGATCCCAAGCCCTTCGCACTGAGCTACACCCCCAGCCCCTTTTGGTAATCAACTTTATAAGATTTTATGTGATGTTCTGTTAAAGTCTTCCTAGGAACTAAGTTTTAAATATATAATATATTTGACTCAGAGCTGCATATTTGCTTAATATTTTTTAAAAAAAATGCTCATATGAGCATATTTTTAGCAATCTTTAGAAAAGGTTTTTTTTTTTTCTTTAAGTAACAGTTTGTTCTTGCCTTTCAGATGGCCGAACTGACCCAATTTTGGATGATGTTGGTGAAGCTTTCCAGCTTATGGGCGTTAGTCTTCATGAACTAGAAGACTATATTCACAATATTGAACCTGTTACTTTCCCACATCAAATCCCTTCATTTCCTGTTAGCAAGAACAATGTGCTCCAGTTTCCACAACCTGGAAGTAAAGATGCAGAGGAAAGAAAAGAATACATTCCGGATTACTTGCCACCCATTGTGTCTTCTCAAGAAGGTTTGTAGTTGATTTTTCCTCATACATGAATGATTATTTTAATGGATTTTTAATCTTTTTAGCTTTCTGTGCTTTGCCAACATATGAATTCTAGAAATGCAGTCCAAACCAACAAACTTTACCTGGGATTACCAGGCAAGCCATGGTACAATCAAGGTTACAGTGTTTTCAGTAGGGAGAACAGAATGTAGCCACAAAAAGAAACCTTTCAATAGGTGAGAATAGGATAATGACTAAATTAGAAAACCACTAAAAGCCAGGTGTGCTGGCGTATGCCAGTAATCCCAGCACTCCAGCCCCCAGGAGGCTGAGGCAGGAGGATCACTTATGAGTTCGAGGCCAACCTGGGCTACATTGTGAGTTCAAGGCCAGCCTGAACTGCATAGTGAGACTCTCAAAAAAATAAAAAAGAAAACCTTTGATATAAAAAAGAAAAGTTGAGGTAGTTCTTTCCCCTCCTTTTATTACCATTAATGTGTGTCCCCAGAGTGATGGCATGAGTGGCCTTGAATATTCTCCAGCATGTGCAGACCTAGCTCACTGTTGGGAGTGGTGGGTGACTGTGTTTCTTGTTTGGTCAGGGTATCAAATAGTTAGCTGAGCATAGTTGTCAGTCCCATTGCATAGTTGAATTCTCATTACATGATTTTACATATTTAATGTGTTGTTTCTGTTTTTGGTACTAGGGATCAAACTCAGGACCTGGGGCCTGCCAGGCAGGCGCTTGTGCTGCTGAGCTATATCCTGGCCCTGATTTTACATGCTGATCATTAAGTTCATCAAGATCCCAAACATACTTAAATAATTTGTAGTCTCTAATGACAAAAAATACTTTTTATAAAGTGGAAAAGTTATAATTCATTTCATTTGATTTTTTTTTTTTCAAGTCCAAAGTCTCTGGTATACTTCAGGATGATATAAATGACCAAGAAGTAAACCTTATTTATGATTTTTTTAAATTATGGTAAAACGTACCTAAGATAAAATCATGTATTTTAATCATTTTTAGGTTATAGTTCTATGTCATTAACTTTGTTCATGTTCTTATGCAACCTTCATAGCTGTCCATCTCTGAAACTTTTGTGTGTAAGTCACCATTTCCCACTCCTCCCAGGACCTGGCAGTTGCCATTCATTTTCTGTCACTGAAATACCTACTCTAGGTACCTCTTACAAGTGAGATCATACATTTGTCTGGTTTTGGTTTTTGTTATTATTATTGTTTGCATCTTTTGAAATAGGGTCTGGGTATGTCATTCACACGGGCCTTGAACTCACTGTGTGACCAAAGTGGCCTTGAACTTCTGCCTCGGCAGTGGCAGCAGTCCTGGGTGGCTGGCATTACCAACCTGTGCTGCCCTGCCTGGTATGGAATTTGTCTATTTGTGACGACTTATTTCACCTAGCATAGTGTCTTCAAGGCTCATCAATGTTATATTGTGTGTCAGGACTAATTCCTTTTTAAGGTAGAATAATGCAGTAGTATATGTATATTCCACATCTGTTTATCTTTTACCTGTGACAGACTATTGTTTCTACCTTTTAGCTCTTGTAAATAGAGAGGCATTGAACGGTGATACGCCAAGAGTATGTACAAGTCCCCACTTGCAGTTGTTCTGGGTTTGTACCTGAAGTAGTTTCTTTTCTTTCTTTCTTTTTTTTTTTTTCTTTTCTGGTACCAGGAATAGAACTTGGGACCTTGCACTTGCTGGGCAGGCATTGTGCCACTGAACTATCTCCCCGGCCCTATACCCAGAAGTTGATCATACATTAATTCTGTTTTGTTGTTTGTTTCCATGCTAGTTACTGAACCCCGGGCATCATGTGCTAAGCACATGCTGAGCCCTGTGCCTGAGCCTTGAAGGTTGCCAGCCTGTTTTCCACAGCAGCTGAACCAATTTACCTTCCTACTGACCATGCCCAAGGGTTGCCATTTCCTGCAGTACAGTTCTTGTTCACTTCATTGGTGATTTGGAGTGTTACCTGTTTGGCTCATGCATTCTGCTTAAAGTTGGAGTAAGTTGTCTCTTTGTCTAATCTGAAAAACTGGGCCGACTTGACTTAGCTGTAGGGCTTCCCTGTGGATAGGGAGATCATCATAGAGGCTGGCAAGGTACTGAAACAAAGCATTGTGTCCACGCTTGGTAGTCGCCTTGGCTAGATGGAAAGGTTTACCATAACCTTTTGGAAAAGTATCCTAGTTTTCTGATTTGGCCCTCTTCGGAAAGGCTTTGCTCAGTAGCTGATCATTTCTCCATTTCAAGGTTTTAGAAATTAATGCTGACTAAAACCAGGAGTCAGCATCAGCAGGGTCTAGGATGGCTCTCTGAGCAAAGGGTACCTTCAGTACGTTACTGAACTGAGTTGTGCGCTATTGATAATGGGCTCACATATAGAAGTTCCCTGTTACTTCTTTAATCTAGGACTGTTGCTACTATTAATAGTGGAATTTTTTTTTTTTTTTTTTTTTTTTTTTGTAACCGGGGATTGAACTCAGGCCCTTGCGCTTGCCAGGCAAGCACTTATTCTACTGAGCTATTTAAAATGTGCAGATTCATCCCAGTCTTCTCCAGCTTCTTTCAGTAACTGTTTAGCACCCCTCCCTTTGAATTTATTTGTATTTGCAGCTTGTATTATTTTTCAGGAACCTTACTGTTTATATTCTCCTATGTAAAATTCTTTTTAACCACCTCCATTGCTTTATATAAGGTTTGATTGAAAACTACAGCACCTATTTAAATTTTTAAAAATTCTATTAGTAAAAGACACGTTGCTGTGCCTGGGAGATAGCTCAGCAGCTTAAGCGCCTGCCTGTTAAGCGCAAAGTCCTGAGTTTGGTCCCCGGTCCAAAAAAAAAAAGGCATTAATCCTCATCACAATACTCCTAATTCCCTTCATTCCCGTCTCTGTTCATTCTCTCATCATTCTTGCTGCTTTCTGAAGCAATTCTGGAAGTCCTTTTTTTATGTCTTTACTTATGCTGTTGTGATTGCCTCAAGATCCTAAATAGATTTAAAACATTTATTTTTCTTTTTTTTTTTTTTTTTTGCGGAACAGGGAATTGAACTCAGGCCCTTGCGCTTGCCAGGCAAGTGTTTATTCTACTGAGCTATCTCCCTGACCCCTAAAACATTTACTTTTCACGGTCATTTTGACTTTGGGAAAGTCACCCGGTGCCACATCCAGTGAGTAAGGTGGATGAGAAAACACTGCAGTGTTTTCAGGAGCCCTTCTTTCCATTCCATTGGCTAGCACTCAGCAGCAACATTCCCTGTACTTTTTATCACACTTTCCAGCACTGCTACAGAAAGTGACAAGAATGATGGGATAAGTGTACTCAAAATAAGAGGGAATATCTTGAGAGGGATTAATAGTAATGCATCCTGGGGCTGGTGAGATGGCTCAGTGGTCTAAAGCACCTACTTAGAACAAGCTTAGCAAAGCACAGGGACCGCGGTTCAATCCCCCAGCACCACATGCCAGCCAGCCCTGCCCCCAGGTAGGCTGAGCTGGCCACAAACAAATAAATAAATACAATTAAAAAAAAAAAATAGTAATGCATCCTTTTTTTTTAAAGATAGAGTCTTGCTGTGCAGGTCAGGCTGGCCTTAAGCTCACTGTGTAGCCCAGGCTGGTCTGGAACTTGCAGTGATCCTCCTGCCTCAGCCTCTTGAGTGGGCCATGTGTCTTTTTAAAAAAATTTTGTACCAGGGATCAAACTCAGGACCTTATGCTTGCCAGGCAGGCACTTTTGCCACTGAGCTATCTCCCCGGCCTGGCAATGAGTCTTTTTTTTTTTTTTTTTTAATGTATTTAGTACGGGGTCTACAGGGTCTCACTACACAGATTGGGCATAGTGATTGTCTTGTTTTCAGCCTCCCAAGCGCTGGGATTATAGGCATGTGACAAGCCCAGTCTCAATTGCTGTCTCAGCGTGCCCCACCGGCACAGCAGGCCAACAATTGAACCCAGTCCCTGCACTCTGCTGAAGCAGGCATTTTAATACACTGAGCTATCTGGCCGGCCCAATGAGTCTTTGTATTGGTCAGGGTTTTACTTAGAGGAACAGATATAAAGAACAGATATTAACACAAGATATACAATGTATAAGAAATTACAAGGTTGGGTTAAGACATGTGCAGAGGGCGTCTGCACACCCCAGACTGAGGAGTTCAGTCCCAAGGTCTGAAGCTCACTGCTGTGCTCCGAGCAAGTCTCTATTCGTCAGCTGATGGGTCTGTGAGGGAAGACTGAAGAGTCTGCGATGGATGCTGATGGATGCTGAAGAGTCTGCGACGGAAGGTGAAGGATCCAAGGTGTAAGAGTCTGCGCTGCAAGCCAGGCGATGAAGCCCAAGCCGAATGCGAAGACTTAAGCCCCTCAAAGGAAGTGGAAGATCGATTACTTCCTCAGCCCCTTTGTATGGTCTCTTTGTGCTGAGTCACTCTGGGGGCAGAACCAATTGTGCCCCAGGGTGGGACCCCCACCAGCAGGAAGTGCACCAGGGAGTCATCCCAAGTTGACACAATGTATCAACCACTACAGTCTTTTACTATAATAGTTTTTCAAAATTTAAACATTCACCATCAATTTCGATCCCCTTTTATCACTGTTTTGGATCTTAGAAACTAGTTTTGTTAGTTTTTAAAATCAGGAATGTATTTACTTTTAAAATGTAGCAGATGCATTTAAGTACCGACCATATCAAAGGAAGACTTTTTGTGCAGAACCCTGGTAACAGACGGGCTAAAAAAGAACTCCTTTTTCTCTAAATGAGGCCATGAGTATCTGGTGACCCTGGAATTTCCTTCTTTGTTCTTGTTCTTAAATATGATTTATTGAACATCCTAGATGTCTTTATAAAAGTACTACTAAATTATCAATCTATTCTATCGTCTTGTACTTTGACAGTTAGTAGGCATAGCTCTGGAGTGTTTAGCTAAGGGAACAGGTATTAGTACACAAAAATTACAATTGTGCCAAGAAAACAAGAACTGAAAT